TACTATCAATCTATGGTGCTCTATTGACCTAATCAGGTATTCGCTCTCATAGGATCAAAGAAGAATCCATAATCTCGCTAAAGCATAATTGAATGATAAAAACATGCATAGATTGATTATGAACTCAAGATTATCAAGTAAGAGTAGTCATAAAATTATCCAATCAAACAAACATGGCTAGGGTTCCTCAAAACCTAAGTGAAGGGAAGTTACTCCATAGAGCATAGAGAGAATGCAGTAAGAATCTTCAGATGATCAGTCTTCAAGTCCCAGCTTGTTCCTCGAGCTTCCAAGGCGAAGAAATCCTCCAAATCCACTCCAAGATTTCCCACAAATCGCCCTCTCTCTCTTTGGTTCGTCCCTTGGGTGTTTGGAATCCAAAACCCAGCTCCCCCCCCCCTCCAAAAACGCACAAAACACGCTTTTAACAGCCTGCGTTCACAACCCGGTCGGGTATTTTGGGTAACCGTCCGGGTATTTTTGGTTCACGATAGGGGAGCCTTCTGATGCTGTTAAAAATACCCTATCAGATGGTCAAAATAACCGGTCGGGTATTTTGCAGTTCTGGGTCCCCTATCTTTGATTCTTCGTTTCTCCCTCGTTCGGACTCCAAATCAGGTGTCGTTTGATCACAGACGCTCGTAGTCTTGTCTTATTTCTTCTTATGACAAGCTTACATGATTCTATGGTCACAAAATGAGGTATAAATCCATTATTCTTCACTTTATGTGCTAGGACCTGAAATGTGACAAAGGAACAAAACCTAGCATAAAATATGCCAAAGAAGCGATAATGAAAGCTTAAACGATCAACAAACAAAGGGGAAAACATAAGCAAATTTCAAGTCATCAATGACACACATGTGTGTGTGTGTTCACCGCACGGGATATGACCCAATGGCCGAATCTCTTGATTTTGATGGCCCGGACCCTAGCTTTGCATCCCTCATTTTGATTTTTGCATCTAACCATCAGCCTCTTCGTGTCGGAATGTGTTGTGTGCCATTAAAAACTCAGATTCGTTGCTTCTATGGCAATAGCGTGCCGACCTCATTCTTCGTTGCAAATTGTTGGCCCTTCGTAAAGTCAGTGAGTGGACCCCATACTTGCACCTATGGCGGGTCCATGTCGCCATCAACTTCTTCCAAAGTGGCGTTAGTTACCACAACTGCCATTACAGAGATGGTGAAGGTGAAGGTGCCTTTCATGATGATCATCAGATGGAAGAAGAGGCCAAAGGATCTGCAATACGAGCGAGGTCGTGTATACGGTCGATGCCATCAACCTAAATCGCAGAAAATAACAACGTTAGCCATTTAAGTAGTAATGCACCGCATGACTAAATATATTGATGCTCAATGTAAATAAATAAATTAATATGACTGAATTACTTACCAAAGCTCCGTCCGCCGCACCTTCGAGGATCACGTAACGAACAGATTGTCTTCGGTATGTTTCCATGTATGGGTCATGGTAGCCCATCCGCCCAACAGCTCATGTCGTCACAATATCCTGATCATGTCTATTATTCCACAGATCGATCAATTCTTCAAACTCCGTGGGCCAATTAGTAGATCCTTGTCGACCATCTTTCACGTGGTACCCCCTCTGACTCGCCGAGACTTCCAATGGTAGGCATTGCTCACATCCGAATTGTCGTAGACATCGATCTGGTAAGTGCCACTCCACTATATGAAGGTGGATTAGTGGCACTCGGGTGCACCATTGAACGGTATGCAACGGGAACTTGTGGACGTGATGCGCGATGATGCGTTCTGGATACGGATCGAACTTAAGCTATGAAGGTGCAGAAAAAATGGACCATCAAGAAACATAATAAAGCAAATTGAAAATAGAGCAACAAGTAATAGTGTATTATGATGGTTACCTATGCTTCCCAAAGGTGATCCAGCCTCCTATGATACTTGGCCCTTGGACAATGGTGGATTACCATCCGAATCGTGATCTCCCTTTTTCTGGCGGACACAACCCAGTGACGGTCCATATAAAATGCTGCCAACCACTCATATTGGCAACAACTTTAGCTGGTGGCGTAGAGTCCACACAAATAACATCGCCATCGATGGGCAAATCGGTTAGGATGGCGATGTCCTTAAGTGTGATGGTGCACTCGCCTTCACAAAAATTGAAGCAATGTGTCTCCTTTCGCCATCTCTCTACCAATGCTGTGATGAGTTGGCGGTCGATCTTTATTCCATTAAGTGCCTAATCGGATCCAATCTTGCCCTTTTTATGGAACGTTCATTAGTGGTCTTGGCATGTCCGGCAGATAACAAAGGTAAATGATTGTTGATACGAGTGAAAAGCCTCTCCCTTTCCCTCTCAGCACCCACACTTAATTGGAATTTGAAGATAGCAAGCACTTTAACCAATCTATCAATGCCCAAATTTTTATGGAACGTTCATTAGCGGTCTCTGACAAACAATAATAATTTTTATGATTCATCAGTACAAAGGTGGTAACCAGTGATATAAAGTTTTTGTTCAAATATATTGAAAATGGATCTCATTTTCTAGATCCCAATAAACTCGTTTCATCCGTGCAAATTTTTTTGAAATCCAAGTTAGAACGAAGAACAGCCGATTAAGAAAACTATGAAAAAAATCTCATTAATTATTTTTTTTTAAAAGATATCATGTATTGATCGAAAAATAGATAGTTACACCCTGGAAGCCAGCCAGGTCTGGAAATCAAAGAAGCGACTCATAGTCGGATACAAAGAGAGGGCTTTCCTAGCTACAAAATGAGCTACCCAATTGTTCTCCCGACCTACAAAACGCACACTAAAGCCAGGCTGAGTACGAAAATAATGACTAATCTCTTCCAGAAAAGCACCCAACCGGCTATCTCTTGTGTCGGCTTGATTAATTTTATCTATAATCACTTTCGCATCACCCTCAAAACGGACCTCAGACAAGCCTTGCTCCACACACCAAATAATAGCTTCCCTGAGCACAAGCAACTCTACCACTACAGGATCATCCATCGAGAAAAATGGATCCCTTTAGTCAGAATGAGTGTTCGCGCTGGGTCAAAAAGAACCATCCCACCAGCCAAATGCGACCCACCCTTAGTAGCCCCGTCCCACATGCAAACCAAATGGGAATCGCCCACTTGTACTGTAGATTGCATCATCGGGATTTGCACCCTAGGCGCCCGGTCCGCTGGTAGACTCACTTCATTCCTCATACTGTTGGTGAAATTGTCGCATGAGCCGGGATCCCAAATTGTTTGCCTTCAAAGACTACCCGATTCCGAGATCGCCAAATCCTCCAAAGGATGGCAACAACAGCCATAAACACTGACGGTTGATGAATCAACGCCAACAGACGTTTGAGAAACAAAGGAAAAGTATGCCGAGGCAAACCCTCCCCCAAGTATTCCAGCCCATAATAGTCCCAGAGAGCCCGCGCAACCGGACAATAAAGGAACAGATGTTCCATTGTCTCCGGACCATCCCAACAAACTAGACACCGAGGTAGTACCTGGACCTTTTTCTCAATAAGCGCCTCCGTAGTCGGCAGAGCTCGATTAAGAATTTGCCAAACTAAAATCCTTCAACTTTAGAGGGATCTTCGCCTCCCAAACTCTAATCCAACTCGGCTTATCCATCCAGGTAACCGAAGATCGCCACCCACCCATCCTCCTGTCCAGATCGACAAATGGTAAGCCAACTTAACCAAGAAAACCCCATCGACCGTAAAATGCCAGATCAGCCTATCAGGCACATCCCAACGCGGGAGAGGAATAGCTTTGATAGCCTTACAGGTGGGCGGGTCAAACCATTGGTTGAGTTTCTCATCAGACCACCTCCATCCCCCTTCACCAATAACCTCCGCCACCAAGGGATCACCCCCCCCCCCCCCCCCCGGCAAGATCCGCGGATTATAGCATGGGGGATCTAGTTGACACCTAGGAATCCAATTAGCATGAAGAAGGGAGACCGATTGACCATTACCAACCTGCCATCTCAAACCCATCTCCAATAACTGACGCCCATGAAGGATACTCTGCCACCCCCAAGAGGGACGAGACCTAGCCGTCGCATTCAGGAAAGACCCTTGAGGGAAATACTTGCCTTTATAAACCTGGGCAATAAGTGATTGAGGCTCATTGATAATAGGCCAGCCTATCTTAGCCAAAAGAGCTTGGTTAAAATGCTCGAACTGACGAAATCCCATCCCCCCATCATGCTTACTCATGCACATGTTACGTCAGGACACCCATCTAATCTTGGGATTACCGTCCTCAGCACCCCACCAAAAACGGGCCACATGCCTATCTAAAAGACGACAAAGAGTCCGGGGAAGACGGAAACAGGACATAACATGAAGGGGAAGAGCCAATGCTATGGATTTAATCAAAGTTTCCTTCGCAGCCCACGACAAGGTCCTTTGTTTTCACCCCTGAAGTCGCTCTATGAGTTTTTCCTCCAAATATCTGAATGTAGCCATTTTGGACCGAGCAACCAGCGTCGTAAGCCCCAGATATTTGTCGTGGACCCCCACCGCACCAACTCCTAGGATCATGGCCAAGAACTCCTGATCTGGCGTGGAAATATTCTTGCTAAAGCACACCGTCGATTTCTTCAAGTTTACGCGTTGGCCACTCAATTCCTCATATTCATTCAGTGCCTCAATTAAATTCTCGCACTCCTGCAGAGAATCTCGCAAAAATAAGTAAGAATCATCTGCAAAGAACAGATGCGAGACTCTTGGAGCACGAGGAGCTACTTTCACCCCCTCTAATTTTTTCTCCGTGATCGCCTTTCAGAGGAGGGTTGCAAACCCCTCTGTGCAGAGGACAAACAAGAGAGGAGAGAGCGGATCCCCCTGGCGAAGGCCACTAGAGGCAGTGAAATAACCCGAGGGTGTACCATTCATCAGAACCGAGAAAGAGGAAGATTGGAGACATTTGTGTATCCATCCTTGCCAGACTGAATTAAAACCCATCTTATCCAAAACTGCAAGAAGGAAGGGTCATTCGACTCTATTATAGGCCTTTTCCATGTCAGCCTTCAGAGCCATGTACCCCTTCTTCCCTTGCCTTTTTATTTTCAGATAATGCATTAGTTCATGTCCTATAAGGATATTATCAATAATCTGTCGGTCTCTGATAAAGCCATTTTGGCCTTCCGAAACGATCTGAGGGAGCATGCTAGCCAGCCGCTCAGCCATGATTTTGGTAATCACTTTGTAAACAAACTGGCAGAGACTAATCGGACGCAATTGTCTAATTGTTTCCACCGAGTCCACTTTAGGGATCAAAGTGAGCCAGGTATGATTAAAACTCCGCAGCATCCGACTCGAGGTAAAGAAGGAGATTACTGCTTCAACCACCAAAGTGCCAACAATATCCCAAAAAGCTTTAAAGAACTTCCCTGTGAAGCCATCCGATCCCGGGGCCTGTTTCGATCCCATGGCAAAGACCGTACTCCGAACCTCACTCGGCAAAACCTCTGCCGTCAATTGCGCATTCATTTGCGGAGTAACACTATGGGCAAGCGGGAGACTCGCCACCCTCTCAGCCATATTAGGAACCTGAGTTTCCGAGGTAAACAAGGTCTGGTAAAATTTAGTGGCAATAGAAGCCTTCCCGGTTTCCTCAGTGACCCATTCACCCTCCTCATTTCGAAGCCCGGAAATGAAATTCCTTTTCCGCCGAGCCCTTGTGACCGTATGGAAGTAGGCAGAATTTTGATCTCCTTTTTTTAACCATTTAACTCTGGATTTTTGCTGCCAGAATACCTCCTCCGCTTCCCACTGGCGGGAGAGCTCCGTTTCCAGGGTCCTGATCTCATCCCAATCCATCGGATGGATCGACTTTATCCTATCAATCTCGGCTTGGAGCGTCTTGATATTACGCAGGGATTAGTGCTCGCCCTGCTCCAATCATAGAGCAGATGACGGAGCTTCTTTACGCGCTCCCATAGTCAAAACATAGGGGTGCCTTGGATCTCCTTTTGCCAGACATAGTTGACCATGGCCCTTACCTCCGGATTATCCACCCAACGGGCATCAAAATGGAATAGAGGGCGACTAGTACGAACATAAGGCTTATCAACAAGGAGAAGGGCACGATGGTCTGATCCCTGGTCCGTGAAGTGTTTGACTAGTGTCTCCGGGTAAGTATCAATCCAGGATTGAGAGCAAATTGCTCTATCTAGACGTGCACGAATGCATGCATCGCCCATGCGCTTATTTGTCCACGTAAATTGATCACCTTGGTAACCAGGGTCATGGAGACCCAAATCATGAACAAATTCACGGAGACTAAAGGCTTGGGCAGCATTCCACGTCCGTCCCCCATCTTTTTCACTCTCTGGTAGAGTAGCATTGAAATCGCCTATGACCACATAAGGGTGATTGATATTCGCACACACGTTCCGCAATTGAGCCAATTGGGTAGCTCGAATAGCAATATTACAGCTAATATAAACAAAAATCACCACATAAGAAAAATCTCCTTCATTAATTTGCGAAAAAACATAGAAATTAGAATGACAGAACACCGAAGTGTCAACTCCGGGGCCCAAGCAACTACTAAACCACCCGATGCATCGACTGCATCTACAAAAAAACAATGAGAAAGCGCAAAACCTAGACCCCGCATACGGCGGGACATTCATGCCGGCTCGATCGTGTCTCCGAGAAGAACACGAGATCTGGTTTATTGGAATGAACAAGCCCTATAGCAGTTTGGAAAGTGAGGGACGACCCAATTCCTCTCACATTTCAGGCGAGAAGCCTCATTTATCCTCCTGGGGCCATTCAAGGCTGGCTTCCTCCACCTTATCCAGATCATCAGTCGATTCCACAAACTGTTTCTTTGGAGTAGGAGGGTTACCCACATCCCCCTCCAACTCTTCAAGCACTCGTTTCCGATTCTCCATGATAGGGTCCATCATATTAGACCCGTACTCATTCAGCCTTACACTCACTCCCTTGTCCACACCCTTCTCTTCCCTTGCAATAGCTAGCCCATCTTCAAATGCCTCCACCACTTGGTGAACATGCCCTTTCATGATATGGCGAGTTTTCATTGTTTCCTCAGCTGGCGAACGTCGCTTGATCTCAAAAGAGTGTTGATCCTCATCAGAATCAAAGTCATTTTGTTAATCTACGTCAACAGGCTCTTCCAAAGCAACAAAATCCTTCTCCTCCAAGTCAAGCAGATCACCAGAAGGAGTAGAGCCCGCATGCTTGTGAGGCGAGTTAAGAGAGCAGGTTGCTCCTCCTTTTCGAAGACGTGGGTGAGCCCTGAGTTTTGTGCTAGGGTCCTCTGCCGGACCAACAGGAGCACGTAAATTAGACCCATCTCCAATGGTCTCCTCCTCCTCCTCAGGTTCCTCTTGGAAGATCAGCCTACGCCTCCTTGATTGCTCGAAAGCCTCCGCCATCTGGCCCACACCCTGCTAGCCTTGTGAAGCCTGCTTGGCACGCCGACCAGGCTGCTGGCGTCCCTTAGTGCCCTGCCGAGGAGGAGGTACAATCTTCTGGGTGATGCCTTCTTCTGATGTTGTCGAACACTTCCACCAATCTTAACCCGAGGAGACGTCTTGAAGACAAAACGCTTAGATCTAGCCCGACTCCCAAGGGGGTTATTCTTTGCGACCTGTAGCCAAGTCTGTGTCTCTCTCTTCTTCTGAGTTTCCACCTCTCTTGGGAGTGGATGAGACGCCACTTGGGCATGCGGGCGGGTAACAGTACCCGGAAATCTGCTAGCAACCTTCTCGCCCCATCCTTGTGCAATTGGGTATTTCTATTCACCCACACTATTTTGCTGGCATTGCGGTACTGAGGGTAATCTTCATCCTCCCGATAAATCTTCCTTCCTGGCTTGCGTGTAGACATGTGCGGTCCAATACGCTCCTTTCCAGTAGGGGGCCATAAACACATTCCGGATTTGAGTGCCCGACTCGGCCACAGTGGTAGCAGAAGGTTGGTAAGAACTCATACTTGAGATTTACCCAGAAGTTTCCAATCTCTTCACTAACCGCCATGAATTGAAACCGCAAAGGTTTAGTAAAATCAATGAGAGCATGCACTTTCAGAAAGCGTTCATCAGTGTCTTTGGAAGTAAAGACATCAGCCTCCAAGACTTGACCAATAATCCCAGATGCCACTTTCTGGCCAAATTGCTTCGTGCAACAGTCTTCTTTTACATTCCATAGCTGAACACGAAATGGAGCAATGGCCAAATCATCAAAAATAGGCCTTGCGATAGAGGGCGTCCAGGGCCGAAGGTGTAGAATCATGTCCTTAACAATCCATGGAGATCTTTTTAGTAGCCAAACCCTCATATCATCACTTGGGAGACTGATTTCAAATAGGCCAAATTTAGTGGCCGAAACCCGAAGGTTTCCTTGCACCCGCCATCCCTCAAGCAAGCACTCCCTCAACTCTCTAGCAGTGAAAGTGGTCTCCAAAAATAGTCTCCCCAAAAAAGTCCTCGAAGTACAAAATTTCACCGATTGAACTTCGTCGAGTGAAAATTCAACAACTTGATCCTCCGCTACACGAGCCATTGTATTCACCTGCCACAAAGGGGTAGATAAAATTTTAGAATCAATGGGGTTATCCGTAACCAGACTAATAAAATGCATAATGGAAAAGGGGTTAGTGGGCCAATCACAAATAAATCTGCCAATGAAGATTTTGGGCCAGCAATGGTAGCCTCAAAGCTCGGTATAGAGGAAGCTGGGCTGGCCACTACTAAATCAGCGGCTTTTGTACCACATGGGCCATTACTGGCCACCCCTAAGCCCAATAATCCCAGGCCTGCAGCGCATCCCCATCGGGCACCCGGCTGAGCAGCGGCCAGCACCAACGAGGCCAGGGGGATTCTCGTTATGGGAAGGGCTACCGCCGAGGCGGGGGAGAGGAGATTCCTCAGTTTCGAGCTCTTCTAGGGGAGCTGGGCAGCCGCCGAGATGGAGGTGAGGAGATTCCTCAAAGTAGAACCAGGCGAATGGATTTGGGGGAAAATCCAGTACCTCAAAACTGTACCGGAGCGCCGAGCAGCTTCTGGGAGATTCCTCTTCTCGCTTCTCCAGTCGTCCCAAGGAGCCAAAAAGTATATCGAAGTATGGTATCAGGGGGAGAGGGCAATTAATAGAAGGTGGAGTCCGAGTTCTCCAGTAAAAGGGAAACTCGCCTGATCCGACTTTCAGCTAGAAAACGATTTAGATTTGGATTAGGAGTCTTGGGCTGGGGATGCGATTTGTTTGCCCAGGATCGGATCAGAACCCCGCTAATCTCGCCCAACACAGCGAAAGAATCTCCCGAAGATCCATCCATTTCAGCCTTACACAACTGAGCCCCCACCCGCCTGCGTTTACCGTCGGCGCCGCCAATCTGGCCGATCAAGTCCGAACCGACGACATTTGGGATGAGGTTTATGGGTTTTAACTACTCATTCGCACTGCCTTGCAGGACACAGCAGTCTCCCTCCCCGAGGGGATCATTCTGACGAACAAATTCGCAAGGAATTTCTTTTGATTCAACCCTGGAAACGGATACACTACTCTCGTTTTTCACTTGCTCTGGCGATACAAGAGCAGTCCCCACCCCTAAGGGCCCAAAAGCGCTGAACCGATTCTTGATTCGATCATTAAGAAAAGAATCTGTCATTGGACGATAAAAAGGCTTAATTTTGCTCCCCGCGAACGAGGGCGCGTCAGAGTCTTCATTTTCCAACTCTGACGAGTGCGGAAGCCGGAATCGCCATTGATTCCGTGGCCCAGTTCGACGTCTTTTGGTTGGGCGTTCTTCTTCAGATTTAATCTCGGCAAAAGCCGTAAGAGTAGATCGTTTTTTCAGGCGGAGCCCTTTTGCTCGACGCCAGGCCATCCCAGTCGAAATCCTTGAAGGAGCAGGTCTCGCCGATTCCAGGCGATTTCCCCCTTCCCTGTTGACGAACGGATCCTCTTCCCTTCCAGGCTCCCGAAGGCGACTCCGGCGTAGGGAAGGCGAAGGAGGAATCCAGTGATTCTGGTTATTCAGACTGACCTTGAAGAAGGCGACAGAGGCCCGCGATAGCCACCGGCCGAGGATCAAACAAAAAAGAAGGAGAGAGGAGAGAGCTCCTCACATTCCTTTTTTTTTTTTTTCTTTTAATGTTGTATGCGAATTCGCCCACATCACTCTTTCAAAATCTCATTAATTCTCACCCCTTAAATTTGGAGTTTTCTAGGCCCACTCAAAACTAAAGGCAGAGATCTACTTATGCACCATATCCTATACCTCATGGAGCTGATGTAACTACAAGAAAACTAGTTTCGCCAACCATGAAAGAAAGTCGCTAAAAATAAACTATTTACATGAATGGTTGGTGAAAATATGTTTCGAGCGACCACTAAAAGGGGATTGCCACAAATCCTCTAAGTAGCAACCTTACTTGATAGTGACTTAATTATAAAGCTCTCAAGCAACGATAAAATTAAGTAGCTGTTGAAAATGAACTTTTCCCAACGCCAATTTAACAGTAGCCTGATGCATGTTGGTCATTATTGCCACCAAACCATCTTGTCCATAGGGGAGATAAACATACAAGCGAGTGACCACACCCTTCTCAAAAGTAGATTGACTTCTGATGTGTATTGAGATGTAGTATTCTCGCAGTCATAAACCATAGATTTTTCGAGGGTCGTATTCGAGGATTTTTTTTAATTAAGCGTAGTTTGGCCCTGTTGTAGTTTTTGCAGAAGCAGTTTCTGGTTGAAGTTTTTAGATAAGTATTTTCAAAAAAACAAATCAGTTTAGTGTTTGGCTGTAAAACTATTAGAAGTGCTTTTTAATAGGAGCGGTTGGGTAAAATAAACAATAAAAAGTAGTCAAAATGGATCTTGTTAGATTTCTTTTATATTAAATAATATTATTTTATAATTTATTTTATTTTTAAAATGATATAAATGAAGAAAAATTATATTTTCTGAAATAAAATTAAAATATAGAAAGGATAATCTTGTATTTTCAAAACAGCTTTTTGCCAAAAGCGCTTTTCGGCTTTTAAAAAACCGAGCTTTTAGAGGTGTTTGCCCTACTTCAGCTTTTGAAGCCGAAAAACACTTCTAAAAGTCGGGCTAAACATAGGGTTAATATGAACTATTTTGCAACTAATCACTTCTATTCATGGGCGCAGCCAGAATTTTGACTTCGAGTAGCCAAAAATCGAAATTTATACGTATTCCCTAATGATGGACTATTTTTCTACGTTGCCATTTTTCATCCCACACTCCGTATGTGTTAAATAAGTGACTTCCCGATTTGAAATTGGTGCATGACTGCATGGTGAAAGAATCCACCACCCCTACCTTCCTAAAGATGGCAACTCTTTCAACCCGACGATTGCAAGCCTCAACTTCATGGGAATCTGAAGACAGTGTGTATCGATTAAGTGAGATCTGGTTTACAGAGCGGGCTAATTTGGTCTTCATGATTCAATCACAATGGCCTGGGGATTCTGGCTAGGGTTATGGAAATCCATTACTGTAGACTATGCATCAGGGTTGCCAATAATAGCAAAAACAGAGAAATCACAACACAGCAAGCAAAGCCATATTCAGAACCAAAGCATGAATTGAACAAGGAAACTTGAATACTTTTTTGAAACCCCGAGTACAATAGTATCGGAATTTGTGATAGTTGAATTATTAGTTAATTAAAAGGCAAAATACATCCATAACTTTGCAATAATAGCCAATCCTCCCTCCTTCCTCCCAATCATATAGGGAGGTTCTCCTCCAACACCCATCTCATTCCCGTTTTCCTGCCTTCTGCGCATACTAAGGAAGGACAGTTTTGTCCTTTTGTTTTTCTCTTTATTTATGAGAAACACGCTTCTTGAGCTGTATGTATATGGGCAGCCAATCCAAAAATGAAACCCATCAAATTAATGAGAATTTGGGATTTTTCTGTATAGATTTCTTAACCACCCACTAACCAAATACCCAAAGAAACATCAAAGCTTATCTTGATCACGTATATACTAATATACATACATGAGCATGAGCCTGTTGCACGAGCAATCTAATAATAATAATAATTATTATTATTATTATTATATTATTATTATATTATCAATAATTTATACCCATATACCTCTTATTAATTCAAGTGACAATATCTCATCAATTTTAACTTGAATTTTGGATTTTTCATAAATTGAATGAAATCTTAGCAATGAAACTAACGCATACAATGTATAATAAATTGACAATTTATCACCCATGGCTCACTCAAAATGAAACTATATATTAATAGTTTTACTTTTACATGATTTGCATGCGAGGAAGAAAGGAAGACATGGATACAGGACTAGGTGGGAATTCTGCGGTTTGGAATATGATAAGGGAAAATTAACAAAAAATTATGGAGAGACGAGAGATATCTGCTTTCA